CTTCATGATTAGGAGGGGTGTCCACATACATTTGACCATAGAGTGCATGTTGGAAGAACAAGGTTTCTCCAAATTAGTACAGATCCCCAGCAAAAAAAGCAAACTATTTAAGACCCATGTCCCCTTAAGGAGTAATTTATATAAAAAAATGAAAGAAAACCAAGTCAACACTGTCAGATTTGCTCAAAGTTTTAATTTAACCAGCACGTTAAACCACTTCTGTAATCAAACTATGACCTCTATGAACTACATGTCCCTGACAGTGCAAAAGCTTGATGGTTTTGGACTGTTTTGGTACATGACCTACCCTATAGCGCCTAGAGTGGAATCGTCCTAGCAACAGCATTAGCCAATAGGATTCCTGCAAGAGCTTAAACTTGCAGCCAATGGAAACCACTGTTCCAGATGTCTATGTGCAAGAGCAGCAAATCCGTTTCTCGAGCCCTCCCCCCATTAACAGTACTCTTTTTTCCCCTACCACCTGGCTTACCGCTTGCCCCAGAAGAGAAGGCAGTTTTCTCACATGACCAACGGCTGCCTGAAAAGTATCAACAGCACAATCAACAGAGAGCAAAGCAAAAACAGATGATGCTGGTAATAAGAGAACCCTCTGCAACACGTTAGCAGATCTAACTTCAAGGCCCCGAGCCTGGCAGCAGTCTATTCTCTCTCCTGCGTGTCGTGTCATCCCCCTTTCATGTTTGCCTTTGCGCACCAGACGATATGACAGGCCAGGCTCTGAGGGAGCTCGAGCAGACAGCGCGAAGAACAGAAAAGGGCCTCCTGCTGCCACTCAGCTTTTCGCTCGCTCGCTCTCTCGTTCCCTTCCTCTCTCGCCCTCTGTTAGCTGCGAGGGCCTGGGACATGCTAAGCGTGGCTGATCGATTTCATGTCGGAGAGACAGTCAGTGAGAAGGAGATTTTTAGTCATTTCTCATTAAAATCCAAAAAGGTAACTAAAAAAATCTTTCTAATTCATAAGGGGTGCAATTAAATAATCTAATGAGAAATTCAACCTGACTATCTTTGAGTCTTTATTTAATGACAACACTTAAATCTGTGCTACGAGCAAAGAGAATAAGTTCAAACTAAAGACGTCCGAGCTTTTTCCCCACTCCGATCACATCAGGAATTCCAAGGATTTTTCAAAAACTCTGCATAGTTAAATCATTAAGAAGGTAAAAAGTCATTCAGAGTGGTTTGATGCAAAATGTGCTGTTCTAGAGAAACAGAGTCAGAAATGTTCACAGCGGCAGCAATAGGAACCAGACGTCTGAAGCATATAACGCCTCTAAAAGTGACCTCTCAGAAAGTTCTTAGACAAAACGGTTATGAATTTCATGATTACTTTTACATCTCAACCATTATGCAATAAGAAAAATCAAAGGAATTTGCCTCTAAATCAGAGTATCAGCAAAAACAGTTATGATTTTCACATCTCATGTTAGTGTGATTGTACAGATAATGCAGAATGTTTTTTGGGATGTTTTTGTTTTACCTCAGTCAATTCGCAATACAGTAACTACAGTGAGTAAGTGCTTCAAGCTGGGGCTGAAAGATTAATTGTTTTTATATTGAAATCTGAAATTTGAGTGCAATTTTCAAACTGCAAGAGCTGCAATTTTAATTACTGCCTATGTTAGCAACAAAGCTACCTTTAGGTTAAGTTGGGGACATTTAACCTAATGACAGAAGCAAGCAAACAACCATGTGCTGTCTTATCACAACCACAACTAACTAGCATTCTGTCGCACTATGTTCAGCGTTAAAGCCTCAAGCCTGAAAAAATGGATATGTTGGTCTTCATGGCCCAATAAAAAAATGAACTGGAGCTTAACTTGCAGAGAATCACATTTTAAACTGCATGCACAACAATGGCCAATAAAATGTGAATTTTTTCCCCAAACTGTTGAGCTTTACTTCAAGTGACTGCCACTGATAGCTCCACACTGCAGATTTGACATTTTAGATGGATAAGCTCATTTGTGGCACATCTAAGACAGTGGCTAAAATCAAACACAAAATGTTCATATATATAAAAAAAAGTGGATCAGACTTGAAGGAATTCCACTGATTTTTCAAAATTTCTGCATTATTAAACAGTTAACAAAGTCATTCAGAGTGGTTTAATGTATTAAAAAATAATTAATAAAATAAAAAAAAGCACCAAATCAGAAAGGTTCACAGTGGAAAACAATGAAATTCCAAAGATTTTTCCTTTAATATGGCAAATATCAATCAATTAAAATATGCCTGGTTCGACTCGGGGCATCCCTGGTACAAACCACACAAACTCCAGTGAGTCTCTTTCAGGTAATAAGCCATAAGCTCTAAGCTATTGGCCCCATCAGTCTGTAGATAACCAATACGTCGTCTTAGTGACTGCAGGCAAAGTCCAAGGAATGCAATACATTCTTTGGTTGGTCTGTGGGAAACAAATGATGTGACCGAGAAGAACCTCAAATTCTCAAGGTAACATCAATGGCAACAGCATTAATAACATCAACTGCATTCTAGTTCAATGAGTTGGTTCCTTCAGCTGTGCTTTTGACTACATTTCCCAAGTGGGGCAGTCTATTGATTAAGCCATCATTTTGAAAAATTACTGCTGAGCTTCCATCAGGCCATTTATTTAGAGGTGAATTATACATAAACAGATCAATTTAAACCATTTTATTATTTATTTGTATAATAAAAATAATTAATACCAGACCAACAACAACAGATAAATGGCCAATGTGGTCAAAACAACCAAATGCAAGCACTTTTGTTATCAATTCCTACAAGAAATATGAAAAGCCACACCTAGAACAAGAATCAGATCATTCATTAAGCATCTTCAAACACTGGAAAAGCAGGCCATCATTCACATTCTGCTGTCACTCGACCAAAACAAAACTGCCGCGCTAAAATATTGCCTGAATATTAAGTTCTATTCATAAGCTGAATTGAATGCCTCAAAAGGTTAACAACATTGTTATAGATGATATAAATTGCTTCCAAGTTAATGGAATGGTTGGAAAGCAGAGAGTTGGCAATGAGTGCTAGCAGAGTTGAGCTCAAGCCCAGGTGTCTGCTGTGGAGCATGTGGAAGAGAGGATGTGGCTGGGGCTCCACAGATGGAGCTTAGTATGAGCATAGCAGGGCTACAACTATGTCAGGTCTGCTCAAGGATAGAGGTGAAAGGAAATATCTTCAACTACCAAGTGCTCTTTGGCTACATTTGGAGATCAAACTGCAAGGTTCGAGTCAGATTTGCTTTGTCTGTCTTTATTTGAAAAACAGAGAAAAAAGGATTTCGACATGCTTAGAATTGTAGACGATCCAGATAAACAGAAAACAAACTGCCTGTCTAAACACAGCTTCGTTCAGCCGAGCTCTCAAACGCAAAGGAACAAAACATGAACAAAACGTCTTAGGCATTAAACGATGTCTTAAAAAAAATAGAAAATTAGAAGACATGAGCAAATATGTAAAACATCCCAGCAGCTGCCAACAGGCCTAGGCTCCTTAGTAAGCCTATTGATCTGAATGTGTGTGCATCACTGGTTCTGAAGATGCATGCAGAGGCCTTAAGGGACAAAATCATCCAGTCAGGCATCTACATGGTCATGCCACAAGTGGAGCACTATCCTCAGAGTGCACTCAGCCTTTCAAACATGCTGCATGGCCAGCGGTTCTTAAAGATGCAATGTCAGGCTTTACAATAATCTGGGGAGGCAAGAGCAAGTCTTCACCAAAAGCTGCTTAAGGCCCTGAGAAGGCACATAATAATACAACAATCAGATTGTATCACAGCGTATTGTACCATATTTTTCTGACTGTATCGCAGCTGATCATTGTACCAGATTGTATTGCAGCATATGTTGAATTACATTGTATCAAGTTGTATCGCAGCGTATTGTATTGTCTCATATTGCACAAGACTGTATTGCAGTCTGTGACTAATTGTATCATATTGCATAGGATTATATTGCAGCATATCGTAACGTATTACATTGTACAGGAATGTATCACAACATATCGTATTTCATCCTAATGTATCAGACTGCATCATAGCACATCATATCGTATCATTATATCAGACTGTATCGAAGCGTATCATGTCATTGTATCGTAGTGGATCACACTGTATGACTGTATCGGACTTTGTCATAGTGTATATCGTATCATTGTATCGGACTGTATCGTAGCGCATCATATCACTGTATCGGACTGTATTGTAGTGAAACATATCGCATAATTGTATTGGACTTTATCGTAGTGTATCATATCATTGTATCACACTGCATTGTAGTGTAACATATCATGTCCGACCGTATCGCAGCATATCGTACTGCATCAAATTGTGCAGCAGCATATTACATTATATTCTATTGTAGAAAAACTACTTATTATACTATTAATTAACAATTGGTTACTTTATTTCTAGTTAGCAGTTTAAGTACCTAAACTATGCTATGGATCATGCTAGGTTTAGAGCTGACATGCAATGGTTTCATGATTTCAACATGATGAGCCAAGAATATCAGACCACATACACATACAAATGGCACCCAGAATTTCTTCAAAAATAAATAAATAAAATAAACAATTAAAAAATAAATAAAAGGCACCAACTGCTTAAAAAAAAAAAAAGGAAAAAAAACACTTCACAACTTCAACCTTGAATTAGATAAGTAGGTGAACCTACACAGTGATTTTAAAGCTTGAACCTGTGATAAGTGTTGGGGTATTATGTCTAAAACAAAGTGCTACATCAACAACACTTAGGTGTTATGCAATGGGTTTACTTCTCCACAATGCTTTGTATTCTACCATCACAAAGAAACCCAAGTCTTAGAGCTCTTTTTACACATACGGAACATTTAAATATTTAGTAGAACATTCAAAAATTAAAGCAATAGGTAGTTTAGCATGTCCTATTTTTCACAGGACACCTTCCCGTTAGCAGTGAGTGAGGCCACAATGGCTGCTGAATTAGTAAATAGAGAAGCTTACCTGGTAAGGGTGTACTCCCTGAGTCCTGAGTGCAGGTTCATGGCAGAAAATGTACCTATACAACCCCTCAACCGCTTGTCCCGGCCTATTTTCCAAGTGACAAACAGTGGGCTGTTGGAAAGAGAGAAAAAAAAATATACATCACTGTATGGGGGAGGAAAACACACACTTCACTATTTACGTATCTGTCAAGCCTGAACTTGCCATTCATGTCATGTTGGACGCTATTTCTGTAATAATCATAATCTCTATATGCCCAAAGGACAGCTCCAACATATCATGCCATTAGACACATCAAAGGTTTGTCATTACTGATGATTCACCATCAAGAATAACAGGTCCCAAAAAAGTAAAGAAAGACAGAAAATACAGCACTACCAGTCACACAGCATCTGCTTATGATGGTGTGGACACAGATGACTACACACACTTTGAGCTTGAATGACCAAATGGAGCTCAAATCGATTCCTGCAGTGACCACAGCAGTGGTGACAGTACAGTATGTACTCATGGAGGACAGCAAACACATCCCTCAAAATACTCGAGTAGGGTGGAAGGTTTTTCCCCCCCAACGTCAAAGAACAGTTCATTGCATGCTAACGCAGCCAGACTACAGCATAATGAAGTGACTAAAGATGGACATTATGAGAGCGACTGTAATATGCTTAAAGCCCATCAGTTTCATCACCGAGACAAGCCAGTCCAATTAATCATCTAAAAGCCATGTGGTCCAACCATCCCCCACCCAACATGAATAAAACCATGGCTTTGCACCTTTCCAAATGATGATATGCAGGACCAGGACAGAATCTAGCCCAGAACAGATGACGCATGCTGAGCAGGTCAAGATGCTCTGGAGAGAAAGCAGCCATACAGCGTGATTGGTTCGACTATAGCTCAGTGTTTGGTTCAATTTGTTTTCAATTTAGGTGATTCAGGAGACAGATTAGATTCATTTGGAGAATTCACTTTGTTAGCTGCAAACTCGGAAAAGAAACTCGCCAGGTGAAAAGGAAACAAGGATTGCATTTCGGCTCCTCGGCTGGAACTGAACCTGGACAAACACGCCGAACTGAAATGGAACTGCCTCCGAACACACAATAAACACAAAGGAAGCCTTGGGCAAAATAAAAGCCTGCTGGAAGACTACACAACAAATGTTGACAAATCTTTTCTGGAGAAAACCTGCGTATTTAAAAAGCTCATGATTTAAAGCAATGACAGAAAAAGAAAAACAGCTCATGAATGAACTGTTCATGACCCAAAAAGAAGGTCCTAGGTGGTAGACACCTTTTTATTAATTTATTTATTTATTTTTTCGACATTGGGGTCACAAGATGATACACGTTGTTAAGAAGTTACCAGTTGTGAATACAGTTAGGTTTCATGCTAGAAAACCTGTGATCCTGGGAATGGTTTCCACAGTTCCATTTAAAGGCCCAGCACAGTATTTTTCCTCCTTACACAAAATGTTATATTAGCAGAAACACGCGATTATCTTCATACTTCTGCTTCAGCGCAACATTTATTAGGGACGACTGAAATGGAGCAGCAGTTACATGTTACTATGTTAAGGTGAAACTGATCATTCGAATAAGAAGCTGCCGAATAGAAAGCCAAGTTCAGCCTCGTGGTGAAAAAACACAGCAGCTGCTAGGCCTGTCACACTTATTACATAATTGTCTAATTGCAATTATTTGGGACGGGAGCAACTATTTAAGCTGCCTGCAATCACTTTCTAGTCATGCCATGGCAAAAAATAATTTCACAATCCTATTATACCAAAAAAACAAAGTTAATTGGGACAAATAAATGTATATAAAAGAAAGCAGTAAACACATTTCTGGATCTTACGGAAACACAAAAAGTTCAAACTTCTAACTATGTGCTCTAACAAGTTTAGAGGGCAGTGTGAGGAATATTTGTTTATTTGTTGGCCAATTCTAACAGTTTTAGCTTGTAGTTTTGCTTAGCTCTACACATGATTCTGTCTAACTATAGACATTTATGTGAAAGTCTAGCATGCATACAACACTGTACAGCATCATTTCAAGTCAAGTAAACATATCTAAGAAGGAATTTAAGCATTTAATCTGCTGTGTGAATCCTGAACAGCAAACAAGTCACTCAGTCCACATGGGACCTTCATAGCTTCCAATTCACACTACTACTCTGTTGTAGAGAGTCCTGGATGTGACCAGATGTAACTAGCCTCTGGTTTGATTGGCTGTCCTCTATTGTGCCTTTTTTTAAAAGCAGACAAAAAACACTGCTAATAACTTCAATGTAAATAGGTGAGACTAAACTTTACAGGCTGGATAGGCAGACTAATGTAAATGTAAGAGCTCAAGAAAGCATCTCTTCAAAGCAAAGTGCTGCGCTATATACATTTCTATCAGTTCCACGTTGCTCAAAAATTCAAACTAAGCATTTCTAGGAGAGCCAAGATACGTTTGCTGGGCTGTGTCATTGGCCGTGCGATCTGGATCACTAGCATGACACTAAGACTCTGGCTCAGTTGCTGCCATATCAGTTTCTCTTGGCAGACAATGCAAGCTCCGCCTATACTGATCTTTTTACACTACTCAGACATCTGTCCAGCCTCGTCCAACAATCAATCTAGGTCTACCTCTAACTGTTTCTCACAGCTTTGTTGCTATGTGAGACACAACTAAAAGATTTGATTATGATCGATCAGCAACAACACATTAGTGACAAATCCCATCACACTTATTTTTAGCTGGTAGAACTTTACTTCACCTGCCTAGCTAGTAAAGTCACAAAAATAAATATAGCCTCTGGTGTACAAAGAGGCGATAGACAGGCTAAAATAAATGTCCACTATTTTCCCCTTTCTTTAAATAGTTAAATATTTGCTGTCTGAATTCTGCAGTAATCTATAAAGGTAGACAGAATGCATATAGCATAGCTAAAAGATTTGCAAGGCATGCTTCCAATACCTGTAAGCCACATTAACCTCGCAGCTATTGTATCTATATTACTGTTTGGAATAAGATTTTTGCCATTTTATATAAATCTACATTCAAAGCTTGAAACATCTGAAAACGCTCTTATCCACAGCAACTTACAATAGAATCATGCTACAGATATGGGTGAATGTATCATTAGGAGTCTTGCCCAAGGACGGGCTTGCTCACTTGGATAAGCAAGGTGTGCTTAAACTATGACAGTGGTGTTTAAAACAGAAATGTGGGCTACACGCAGATGTAGATATATTTACCATACTTATCAGAGATGCTCGATGATATCGGAATCACATTAGTATTGGCAGATATTTGCTTGAAGTTGCACTATGCAAGATTTGGGGATTTGGAGCACTCTTGGAAATGAGTAACTGCACATAACACGCAGAAAAACATTTTTTAATGCTGGTTGTGCTTCGGACCCCTCCCCCAAACAGACAAATGAATGCGAACATGTTGAAAGAGTATCAAAAAGAACTCAGTCAAAACTCGGTGAAGGACACGTCTTAGGAGGATGTAAGTGAACTCTACTATTGTCATCATATCTTCATCAGCATGATGTTGATTCTGCATTCGAGACCTAAACACAGAGTCAGATCTTCTGTTTGTGTCTGTACGTATCATGTAAACATGTAAAGACGAACGACGTGGTCTGAAAACTCACAAAATCCAACCTGATACCTCTGACTTCTAAATGAGTTATTCAGGTCTAGCAGGATGACTTGAGGCAGCGCACACACACCAACTGTACCATGTTTTCTTTCTCCTGACTCATTAATGCAACTTTTTTCAATTTTAACAAAAAAATCTTAAATAATTACAGCTTGGCATTAGGAAGCCAATTCTGTTTGACACATATTTTAAATCAGTGTTTGATCATGTACTTATTTTACTCCAGAAAAGCAGAATGATGCTGAGTTATATCTGCATTTTATGCACTTCAAGGCATTTTTTATTCACTATAAATGTGGATCTAGTTCCGGTTTCTACAATTTTATAAATGTGCATGCATCAACAGTGGCAGATATGTACATCCATATTATCTGCCTATGTAGGCTCGTGTATTGGCCTTACTAGAAGCCTAAAATACCTCCACCCACCAGCCCATTCTCATAATTTTTCTCCTCACTGAATCTTCTGAGATCAATGCAACGACAGTTCGCATTCTTCCATGACGAAACCTGTACGGCTGATGGAAAACTTCAACCTGAAGCACGATGCACGACTACAGATTCTTGTTCCTCTGCACTGAACGTCCATTAGTCTGTTACACCTTCTTTCTCACAAATACACTATAAGAACTCATACAGTGACACTATGACAAGCGTGATGATTAACAAACAGCCAGTCGTTTCTAAAGAGAGGTCTCAGGCTGCAGCCAAAGAAAATGAATTAATAATTTACTAGAATACAGTCTGTTCTGTAAAGAATAAATCATGAACGCGAAAGCTAACATCTTCGAGCCTTCAGTTCTGAGACAGACGTGTTGGAGAATTCAGAGAAAGCAAATACGTCTATTATTAGCAGCTACGCCTCTGTCTTGCCCTTGTCCTGTGGTTCATACATATTTAACAAAGCACGATGGAGGGGGTGACGTGTAGAGAGAGAAGAACAGACAGAGAGAGAGAAGGAACGGACATTACATTGTATAGAGTCCATCTTTTTCATCATCCATGTCTTGGGGGCCTGTGTCACATCCACTTAGGACTAAAAACAATCAGTCTACACCTTTAATCTGCCATCCTGCTTTACGATGCACTTTGCTAGTTTATTCACGAGCTTCTACTGACCTCCACTCAGTCAAACAGTAACCAGGGTGGAAAGGGCAAGAGAGACTGAAGAGGTTCTGAAGGACAGGGTGGGATAAAAGAAAGGCAGGGGGCGGAGATTAGCTGCACTGGGACTCGGGGGAGGAGAGTTCTGTGAAGTGGCAGTTGCCTCCATGTGCAAAAATGGGTGACAGGACTTTTCGCAAGCTGCTCCATCAGCATAACGCACACAGTTCTCATTCTCACTGTGGTGTTAAAAAGGGGCGAGGGGCCCACGGTGCCCTCTGCAAGATTAATAGCTTCTAATCTCACACAGCAAGCCCTTGGCAAATGGAAAGAACAACAGCTTCAGAGACCA